ATTTCAATATTTCACTATAAAATATCTCCGCAACGGAGGTGTCCAGATTTGCACATGTGCCACGTGACTACCGGTGGTGCAAGCAAGACTTGTCCCCTCACCGATTGTTCCATTACAGGCTTCCTGACTGGTGCTGTTTTCGTACTATAATGCCACAGTCGGCAAACACACAATAATCTGGGAGGTACGCGACTCAAACACGTGGCCACGTGGCACGTGCCGGACCTTTGACAGCTTCACCGTTCACGCCACGTGATGACCCATCGACGTGGCCATCAGCATGTAAAAGATGACCCCGGCCGGTGTCACCGTCCCTGAACAGTGGACAGCTAAACTCGAAAAACGGGAAAATTTAGGGAAATTTCACCTTTCGAATATATAATTTCCCCAGAATTTTAAATTTTTCATTTTACAAAAAATCCGAGATAGCAGTTTTTTAGCCCCCTTCATTCTGTGCCTATACCCGTTTTCAGATCGACCCTATCATAAAAACTGACGGCCTGACGGCCATTTCCCCCATTCCTTGCATTTCACAATGCTAGTATATTTAAGCACCAAAATTGACCCCGTGCCACGGCACGTGCAATAGCACGTGCGCCACGTGACCACTGGTGCAACAAGCTGGACTCATCTGCTCACCGGCTGCACTGATTTGGTGTCGCTAGGTGGAGTGGTTTCCACGCCATAGGACCCCCAGTTGGCCAATGTCGGATTTTCCCGGAGGTTACCCCATCAAACACGTTTGCACGTGGCACGTGCTTTTCAATCGCCCCATATCTGACCCTTACCATGTGGTAGCCGACACCCCGGGGCACAACATATTGGAACATTTTCAAAATCTAACGTGGAAATTTTTTGCAAAATCGATTTGAAAATAATTTTTCGAATTCGCCATAGGCTCAACATGGGGTAACTGTTTGTGACGATTACCCGAAAGTTCTCTAATTATATTTTAAACGGTTACCACCGACGGTTGGGGTGCCAGCCCGAGAGCCGACCCTAAAAATGTGAGCAAATATTACTGAACAGATTTTCCGTAAATCGCATTTTTAATTTTTCCCCATGTTAACCCTATGGGAAAATGCACGTGCCGATTACCCCAAAACGTGTCAATTATATTTTTTGTAACTTTGCCAGCCGGTAGCTCCCCCACACGGGACCAAACGGTGAAAATGGCAAGAAAATCTAACTATCCGTTTTTGCCCCAATCAAAATGTCCTAAATCGCGGCAGAAACGCTAAACACCCCCCTAGAGAGGTAGCTCAGGTTGGGATTTTCAATAGAAAATCACAATTCTAAAGAATAGTGATTGTCTAATTGAAAAGTCCCAACCTTCGGATAGGCCCGGGCAGCGCTTGTCGAACAGCACTGCGGATCCGAAGGTTGGGACTTTAATTGTGAAAAACCGCCCGCCCGCCGCCAAACGCAAAACCGCAAAACGCGCAAAACGCACGCCCAAAACGCCAACGCAAACTTCGCGAAAAAAAAAACAATCGCACGCCCGCCGAAAATCGCAGAAAAAAACGCACAAAATGCCGCAAAAAAAAACGCGCGTCCGCCGCAAAACACAAACACCGCAAAAACGAAAACACCGCCGCCGCAAAAAAACGCCCGCATCGCCCCCCGCCAACCGCGACACGCCGCAAAAACGGCCGCACGCCGCGAACCGCAAAACGCCGCAAAAACGGCCGTCCGCCGCAAACCGGTAAACACCGCAAAAAATGACCTCCCGCCGCCCGCCGCTAACCGCAAAAAACGACCGCAAGCCGCCCGCCGCTAACCGCAAATAACGACCGGCCGCCGGCAACCGCAAAACGCCGGAAAAAACGGCCGCCCACCGCAAACCACAAAACGCCGCAAAAAACGGCCGCCCGCCGCAAACCGCAAAACGCCGCAAAAAACGGCCGCCCGCCGCAAACCGCCGCTAAAACGGCCGCCCGCCGCCAAACGCAAACAGCAAAAACACCCGCATCGCCCGCCCGCCCGCCGCCAAACAGAAAAAAACTCAAACACCGCCGCAAAAAAAACGCCCGCAACGCACGCACGCCCGCCGCCAACCGCAAAACGCCGCAATAAAACAGCCGCCCGCCGCCAAACGCAAACACCGCCAAAAACGCAAAAACGGCCGCCCGCCGTCAAACACAAACTACGAAAAAACGCAAACACCGCCGCAAAGACGCCCGTCGTAGGCAAAACGCAAATACTGACGCATTAAGACAAATATGGCGCCCTGCGGCAAATGTGGTGCATTCATATCTGCCGTTTAAGCAGCCATCCCTTAATTACAGCGCATCCTAATCGTCCAATGTTCGACAAAGTTAAGCACATTCTGCGCTTTGCGGCAAAAATGGCGCTTTGAGACAAACGTGGCGCACTGTAACAAACATGGCGCATTCGTTTCTGTCGCTTAACAATTCGTCCACCCACCACATTCTAGTCCAATAGGACATAAACTGACAAAGTTATGTTTATTTGAATATTTCACCATAAAATATCTCCGCAACGGAGGTGCCCGGATTTGCACGTGTGCCACGTGAGCACGGGTGGTGTAAGCAGGACTTGTCCCCTCACTGATTGTACCATTTCAGGCTTCGTAACTGGTGCCGTTTACGTGCTATAAGGCCACAAATCGGCAAACACACGATAATCTGGGAGGTACGTGACTCAAACACGTGGCCACGTGGCACGTGCCGGACATCTGATAGCTTCACCGCTCACGCCACGTGATGACCCATTGACGTGGCCATCAGCATGTAAAAGATGACCCCGACCGGTGTCACCGTCTCTGAACAGTGGACGGCTAAACTCGAAAAACGGGAAAATTTAGGGAAATTTCACCTTTCGAATATATAATTTCCCCAGAATTGTAAATTTTTCGTTTTACAAAAAATCCGAGATAGCAGTTTTTTAGCTCCCTTCATTCTGTGCCTATACCCGTTTTCAGATCGACCCTATCATAAAAACTGACGGCCTGACGGCTATTTCCCCCCATTCCTTGCATTTCACAATGCTAGTATATTTAAGCACCAAAATTGACCCCGTGCCACGGCACGTGCAATAGCACTTGCGCCACGTGACCACCAGTGCGACAAGCTGGACTCATCGCTCACCGGCTGCGTTGATTTGGTGTCGCTAGGTGGAGTGGTTTCCACGCCATAGGACCCCCAGTTGGCCAATGTCGGATTTTCCCGGAGGTTACCCCATCAAACACGTTTGCACGTGGCACGTGCTTTTCAATCGCCCCATATCTGACCCATACCATGTGGTAGCCGACATCCCGGGGCACAACATATTGGAACTTTTTCAAAATCTAACGTGGAAATTTTTGGAAAAATCGATTTGAAAATAATTTTTCGAAATCGCCATAGGCTCAGCATGGGGTAACTGTCCTTAACGATTACCCGAAATTTTGTCATTTATATTTTAAATAATTACCACCATGAGGTGGGGTCCCGGCCCGAGATTCGACCCTAAAAATATAATTCATTTCTAACGTGGAGTTTTTGCGCAAATCGAATTTTAAATTTTCCCCCATGTTAACCCTATGGGAAAATGCACGTGCCGATTACCCCAAAACGGGCCCATTATATTTTATGCAACTTTGCCACAAGGTAGCTCCCCAATAGGGGACCAAACGCTGAAAATGGCAAGAAAGTTGACCGTGCCGTTTTCGAGGGATTCAAAATGACCCAATTTCCGGCAGAAACGCAAATGTCCCCCTAGAGAGGTAGCTCAGGTTGGGATTTTCAATAGAAAATCACAATTCTAAAGAATAGTGATTGTTCTTTATTGAAAAGTCCCAACCTTCGGATATGGTCAGGTCAACGGTCAGCTCACCAGAGGTCATCAAATGTCAAATTCAGTCCATTTCAATAATTTTGGAAACTGCCACCGGCTAACTCGGGAACCAGTATGTAGAGCTACAGCGCCGCGGAAAAGCGCATTCGATAGCCCTTTTACAGACCTTTCTGAATAATATTCTCAGATCTGACCTCAGGTCAACGGCGTAGCATCCAGAGGGCAAAAACTGTAAAAATTGCCGTTTTCACGAAAAATGTTTTTCGGCAATAACTTTTGACTCAAGAGAGTCACGACGTTAGTTTTGGCAGCATCGTGTTCCTTTCGTCTAGACGCGTGGAAATAATTATTTGTTGACCTTGAAAGATCATTTTGAAAATTTGACCACAGTCCAAGGTCATGACCTGACCGGAAAGGGTCATGTTGCATATCAGTCGATTCGTATCGTCGAGCTGAACTACGACCGCCCGCGTCTGACGTGTTTTCACCCTTCCGGCACGTCACTATCAAAAGTTATGGCCACAAAACTGCTGGTGACCGTTCATGATCTGAGATGACCTTAGGGGCATAACAGAGGGGTCACAGATGCAGTTTTCCGATTCAATGTGTTATGTTTACATACCGATGTTAGAGAGCGTTTTGAACGACATTCGTCCAAAAGAGGCGCATTTCAATTTTCTCCCATTGACTTATACCTAATGGAGAGGTCGCAAAATTGACCTGACCTTAGCTCATATATTTTGAAAATCCGAGATATACATTTTGCACATATTGTATTTGTTAGGTACTCATATCAATCGCTGAAAGTTTCAAAGTGATCGTTCAGTCGGTGTAGCTATAGCGAGCCTTTGAACTTTTTCTGAGGTAAGGTCATTAGACGTGACCCGGTGACCTGACCTTGAAGACCCGGGTCTGAAATTTTCACATGTGCGGAAATGATGTATGAACATGTGTACCAAAAACGGTGGCGCGCAGCGCCGCCGTTTTTTATATATTCGCGAAAAACCTGAGGGGGGGCGGCGTAAAAGCCCCCCCCCCCCCCCAGCACGGCGCGGGTTAATATCACGCCATGATAAATGTATGGGCCCTTTTCACCGTGCAAGGGCCCTTTTCACCATGGGCTCCTTTCACTATGCATGGGCCCTTTTCACCCTAGTACCCCACAGTCAAAAATTCGTGGCGCCGCCCCTGTGCTGCTCCTGCGTGCCATCATGATCTTCGTGCCGGCCGTGCGCCCCAGCCTGATCCACATGAAAAACCGGATGGTGCCTAGGGATGCCATCGAGGTGATCTGCAAGAAGAGCTCTCTGGGTGACTGGTGGCTGCTCTACATGCTCTGCTTCAACCTGGATCCGTTCGTCTACAAGGATGTCATCGCTGAGCTGAGCAAGAAGATCGAGACGGCCGAGAGCAACGTGCCTCAGAGCAAGTCGTCCATGGTCTGAGCGATGATCGGTCCTTCAGGCCGGTCCGTGCGGCCGGCCGGCGACTCCGCTAGTGGACATGACCTCGCCTTTGGTGCTGACAAAGGGGCGGCCATGTTCCGTGAAGGGACGCGTCGTGAGCGCTGTTTTGTAGACATGGAGATTACTACAGCTATGTGGTTTGTCCGTCAGATGTCGGGCAGTTTGTCCGGGCTGCGGTGGCGGAGGACTGGTGACCGGTCCAATAACGGCACCGTCCTCGCGCCCGAGCGCCAACACCAGCCGGCCGAGCATTCCGGCTCAGCCGGCGCAGTTGGGCGGTATGCATGGTCTGAATGTGCGATGGTCGAAACTTTTATGCTGCCTTCTGGGGACCAATAATATGAAGCAACTAGTGGCTCAAGATTAGGATACCTTTGTATGTTTTTTACGACATTTTTACGACCGAGCTTGCGCGGTGCGGGGAGTGGTTTGTCCGCCGGCGCTGCCCGCCGTTTGCATGTATGACCGTGGTCGCCGGAGGCCGGCATCCAGCCGGGCGAGGCGTGGTGCAGCGCCGCAGGGCTGCTTTATATCTACATCACTGGCACCCACATGGCGAAAGGATCTCACACAGACTGTTCGATCCCGGCTCAGCAGATGACAGAAGGCGCCTGCGTTGTGTACACCGCTCGCCAATGAACTAGTGTGTGGTGGTCGCTCGACTCTGTTCCGCCAATTTCTAAATTCTCAGCATCGCTCGGCGGGCTGGATGTTGAATGTGCGCCGGACCGAGCGATTCGGGTGGCCTGTATTTTTGTACTGATTCGTCGTATGCTCTACCAGGTACGTAGATGATAAAGTCTGCTGTGATTATTAGAAAAAAACCTTCAAAATTTGACCTCAGGTCAAGGTCATGACCTGACCGGAAAAGGTCATGTTGCATATCAGTCGATGCGTCTCGGCAAGACAAACACAATGAGGCTAACCCCAGCGTTCTATCTTTTTCTAATCGAGAGTTATTGGCAAAAAACTGCTTGTAGCCTCAAATGACCTCGGATGACCTTTCAAGAGGCTATCAGCAAAAAAGACACCCTGGTCGTCACGGGTGGTCTAAACCATTGTTATCCTGAAATATTTGGACTGTTCCTATGCGTACACGCGGATCTAGAGGCATTTTCGTTTTTCTCCATTGACTTATAATGGAAAGGTCACGCCACTGACCTGACCTTAGGTCACGCATATAAAAAATCCGAGATATACAAATTGTAGGCACCCATAACATCATGTAATCCACCAAGTTTAAAACCTTTCTGACAAACACTGCAGGCTGGACATGATTGCAAACTTTTTTTTAGGCTTGGTCAGTTAACTTGACCTGGTGACCTGACCTGACATGACCTGGTGTCAAAAATTTCACACATTGTCCAAAATTGATGTACCAAAAGCTATCCCAAGCGGCGCGGCGCTACGCGCCGCGGTTTTTATTTATACGAAAAAAACGCAACAGGGTGGTAACGTATGCCCCCCCCCCCCACCCACTGGGGCGAAGGTTAAGTCGAGGGTGCTAAGAGTTTCGATGCAACCCGTCGCTTTTTACTCGTGAGTTATCTGTTGAAAGCCGAGAGGTGTCCGCTCGACCTCGTTTGTAAGAGCGAGAGATATTTTGCCATTCGATGTGTTGTGTTTCGGTGTTTTGTCGGAAATCGCAAATAGGCGCCGGACCCTCCTCCTGTCACCTCGTGGAAAAAATACTGACAGCAATATGTAAATCTATTCATGACTTATAAGACATGGTATACCTACGTACGTACACTGACGGCGGCACATTTTTCTTTAAGATTGTACTGGATTCTAGAAACATTACTTTCTCTGGGAAAATATAAAACACTTTGTAAATATCAAACATGGTTTTTTGATCATTTCAAGCATTTTTTTTAGAACTGCAGCAAAACTAATTTGAGAGAAGTGGTATATTTCCTTTGAGCGCTTTATGTGAAAAGCGTAGGTGAAGCATCAATACTTTTGACACTGGCCAGCTAAAAATACCTATCAGCTTACTCCAAGGCCGGCTTACTCCTGAATTTAGGTACTTTCAGACCTGGTTCTGTTCAATCATGCCGCTCGTCTCGTGCCGTAGGGATTCATTTGTGCGCTTGAAGCGATTAGATAGGCTTGAAAATCCGACTATTACTATACGCTTAAAGCCTGAAACAGACTCTTTCTGCAGTCAGGAAATCGCATGCGCGGGAGCCAATTCGGGGAGCACGCTCGCATCAATCGCACTCACCTCCCGAATGCGATTAATGCGGGAAGAATTATAACGTATTTGAATACGCTCTCGGCATGCGATTTCCTGAACGCAGAAAGAGTCTGTTTCAGCCTTAACAAATTAATTGCATATACACGTTACTTACGCTAGTCACGTGTTTTCACGACATTGGCCACGGTCACAATTTTTAGATTGTGATCCTCCACGGAGTCAGGCCACTCTCGGAGCTGCTGAGGTGTGCGCACCAGTCGAAAGCCGGCCGCCGACTGGCGCCGGCTGTCCTCCATCTCAGAGAAGCGCGGCGTGGTACCGCCCGCGGGCGGCCTGCACACCTTTACCGCCACACCGGCCCCGCCTTTACACAGTACAGGGTGTCTCAAAAGTTCGTTGACACTTACCAGCCTTGCTTTTTCGCCAACAATTCTGAATCAATATGAAATACAACCTCAAAATTTGCATGGGCATTGGTAACACCCGTCCTCAAGCAGTGTAATTGTTTTCAACTACACCTTTTGTCAGTTTATTTCGGTACGTGCGCGTCCATTTTAGACCTAGCGGATTCTTTGTAGACATACCGCAAAGCTATGTATCAGTATAGCATTGCATGTCGGCCGTTTATAGCGGTGATCGGCATTAGAGCATTTAATTTCGGCGCAGCAGCAAAAGACGCGCGGTTTCGGCGTGTCCGCATTGTATTTTGGCGATGCTGCTGGAGATTGGAGACGGCCGCACGATATTTAGAACAGCAGCAACCAAATTCGGCGATATTCATTCAATTTCGGTGGCTATTTGGAAGCAAGCAGAGACTTCTCGCTTACAAAATTAGCTTGTTGGAGCATTGTTATTAAGTCAAACGTTTTTCAAGGTGTTTACTGTTGCCACTGTCTCATTGTCTGGACTTGAGTGCATGCCTCCGGCCCTCCACCCTCTCCGTTATGGCCGAATATTCCTTTCGCCATCGCCAGCGATGGGCATGATTTCATGTTCGTGCTTTCTGTGGGTTACACAAAACATTACAATGTGCCAATTAATTTCTATCAAGGAAGTACAAATAACATAAGTGCATAGGCACCTGCTTAAAACGAAGCTGGCGGAGAACAAAACCAGGCCGACAGGGTACGCGACTACTGAACTTTGACCCCGCCCATGCGCCAGAGACGCCCGTCGCCTGGTGTCGTCGCGCGGTTGTTGAAAGGATGCGCCGAGCGCCGGATGGACAGTCAGATACTCAGGGAGGGGGGGGGAGATACACCTGCTGCAACTACGAGTCTTGTCCATGGGACGGGTTAGAATGTTGGCGCTAAGCCTCTGGGTCTGGTGGTGTTCGTGGGGGTGGGGTAGGGTGAGGGAGGCGTGATGATACGATACGGAATGATTAATTTATTTTCGTGTCCTTCTGGACACAGTAGGTAAGGGATGTTTGATATTTCACGCTGGCAGTTGATTAATAGGAGAGATGATAACAGGAAGTGCAACGATAACCGATTGGTAGGACTTATTCTGGTATGGCTGAGCTAATTGTGTTATGTTTGATTGACGAGGTGATGGGTTGCTTTCAAAGTGAAGTAAAATAACAGGTTTTTTGATAAAATGGGTTCATGTTTTGGGCCAAAACTTGGCACACAGTGACAACAGCACAGACGTGCTTCAATGAAAGAGAATCGGGGCTTGCCTCGAATCCAACAACGATTGGCGTTTGCCTTGTCGATCGTAGTCCGCCATGTGCGGACAGGAGCGGGTACTGTAATATAAAAAAGAAACCAGCCCACAGATGTTATCTTTTTAGGATAAATAGTACTAATTCAGTAAAGTTATCAATTTTCACATCAGAATTCGAAACGGGAAACAGCGAAACGATCTTAGGTAGGTACTGTGACGCTAAACAAACAATAGCCTGCTTTTCTCCCCCTGAGAATATCTCAAAGCCACAAAGCTGTGTGAGGATTCATTTGATGCTCAAGAAGCGTTCCTGAAAATATGAATCACCTGGGTGCCTCCGGTTACCCGCCGAAATTGAATGAACAGTGCCGAATTTGGTTGTTACTGTTGCTAAATAGCGTGCGCTACCTCTAAACCTGTGCTGGCGCAGCCGATTCTACTTGCGCTATCGCTGAAAATGGAGCGTTTTGCCGCTGTGCCGAAATTGAATGCTTTACCGCCGACTGCCTGACCTGCGCCGAGATATTATGTGATTCTTGTACATAATATTGCGGTATGTCTACACACATTTCGTTAGTTCTAAAATGGACGATTACGCCCCGAAATAAACTGACAAAAGGTGTACATTCGAAACTTCAAGAGCTCACAAAAAAGGTTTACGTCTGACGGTGCCAGGCATGAAAATGATGTCGCAAAATCGGGTGGGTTGTGAAACTCTCTGTTTTAGGAGCAATGGAAATGATTATGTCGGAACTGCAACATAGCAAATTGTCGACTAGGATGTGTACAACATGATGTTCATCCAAAACACAAGTGTATGACATTTTGAAGGACGAAACCATGCGAGAATAACAGCGTTTTGAACGACTAGCTGGTGCGACAGCGAAATGTGTGCCGGAAAGCAGCTGAAAACGCGCTCAAAACTATTAGATATTGGCAAGAAGCTCGAAAACAACAATTACCCAGTTTCAAAAATAGCAGATTATCGCAATAATAACAGCAAAACATCGATTAACATTTTTCGTAACATCTATAGTGCTATTTTTTTTTAGGGAAATAACACAACATCTTTACATTCTAAAACAATTGACCCCCAAAAACCGTCAATAAATGTACAGTTTGATCTTTCAAAATTTCAACAAGCAAACTGAACCGAATATGTTTCTTTCAGACCAAAAAAAAAAAAAAACACCTTGTACACAGGCTTGAGCTGCCTGACAAAGCAGAAGCTCTCCTCCTGGGGAGAGACTTCACAAGCTAGCGAATGTTTATGCATGGGCAATGACGAGCGTTTGGAATTTACATAGTTTGCACAATGTGTCTTGGAAACGGATGGGAAATATGTATAATCTGCTACGATACGCTGCGAAAAAATTACACCTGGCACTTCCCATCTGCATTGAGGCGGCGGAACGGGGAGGGCACCGGGGCACCGTGCCACCCTTTGATTTTGGCATTTAAACATTAGCCGTATGGGCGTTGCACGGAAAGAATGGGACCAAAAGTCGGCAGTGCCCCCCCCCCCCTTAATTGAAGGTGTTCCGCCGCTACTGCCCATCTGTTCAGGAATGGGGTCGTTTTGAAAAGAAAAATAGTGATTGGGATATCGGTGCCAGCCTTCGTGATTAAAATGGCGCCTGAGAATACCTACAAAATACTCATGGATAGTGTCAATGCAAGCTGTAAGCTTTGACCCTATTCCTGGCGGGCTCCGCCGGGATAAGAAACTGGCGGGGGGGGGGGGCGATTCGGCCCCCCTTCAGATATCAAAAACTACACATCGCAGCGACAAACGGCAAACGGTGTTTGATAGGTCGTTTAAAGATCTACAACTTTTACATAAAACATTTTCAGGTCAGGTCAATATTGAGGTCACCAGAGGTCATCAACGATAAAATGTTTTGGAATTAGTTACCTATATAACTTTTAAACTAAGAAACATGGAGACATAAAACCAATACATTTTTTGTTACTCTCGCCGAGGCGATGCGAAATAAGTATGTGATGACCTTCACAGGTCAATTTAAAATTTGACCTGAGGTCAAGGTCAGGTCATTCATCAATGAGGTTGTGGGGTATGGTCATGCTGCATACCAAACGACGCGCCTTGACCAGGCGAGCAGTTTGGTACCACTTACAGCACCATCATGTCGTGATTTATTGACAGAAAAACGATTTATGACGTCACATGACCTCAGATGACCTTTGCCGGTGCCCCTGTCAATTAGCGGCACCAGGATCATCACCGATGAGATAATCTTCCATAATACTGAAAGAACTGGGTGGTTTTGACTCGTTTACACGAAGCAGGAGGCGTTTCAATATTTTCCCGTAGGCTTGCAATGTAAAGGTCACGAGTCTGGCCTGACCTCAGGTCACAGATATGAAAATTCTGAGATACACAAATTGCACATACTGGTACCCTAACTAAAGCCTGAAGAGAAGAAATTGATCGGTCAAAAACTCTAGCTCTGGCGTGATTGCAAACTTTTCTGAGGTAGGGTCACCAAACCGCCTCTGGTGACCTGACCTGAGGTCAGATCAACTCAAAATTTTCAGAAATGTTGCGTAAAAGCCTTTTAGAAAAAGTCAGAAAATTTGAGCTTCCTAGCTCAAAGCGTTTGGGAGATATAACCAAAAAACCTCAGGGGGGGGGGCTCCTGAGGCCCCCCCGCCAGGAATAGGGTTAATGGAGAAGGAGATGCAGAAAGGGGCAGTAATCGCCACGCCATGTGTGGATCGCCCACGATCGTAAATACATACATATATACATACATGCTGCCTAGAAGCTCGCTTAGCCGGCTTGGTTTAGCCTAACTCGGACACAGATTCTGCTGGAGCTTCCCCTGCAAGAGCTTAAAAGCAGGAAACATTTTAACAGCCTCCGGCAGCTGTTGGAGCGACCCAATTCGGTATGGGCACATATGTTTGGAGCTACAGCGCAGGATTTGGCAAGGGATTTGGTATCAAGCATTCCTAATTAGTTGTCAAAGCATGCATCTTTGTCAAGTTTACACAAAGACATCAACACCTTATATTTTCTGCTTGTTCTTATTTGTTTAATTGTCGTTGGAAATATGTCAACGAACTTTTGAGACACCCTTTAGGCACCCACCTATTGGGTCCTTACAAGGCTATTTTTTTTTAGTTTACTGTAGTCTCTTTAAAATTGGAAGTTTTCTAGAACATCTTCGTATGTAAATACACATTTTATTTGAGCAAAAAAGCAGCATTTGCAGTGGTATATAGGGCCTTGTTTGCAGTGCTTACAGACCAGCCAGGGCTGCGAAGTCGGAGTCGGAGTCGGAGTTGGAGTCGGAGTCGGAGTCTGATTCGCCAAAATTTACCGAGTTACCGATTTCAAGAAAGAAAGAAAAAACACAAATCCCTAAAAAGACAATTTGTATTGACCACTTCGCCAAGTTTTCAACACTACGTTCACATATACACAAAAGAGCATTCTAGCATAAGCCAAGCACAAAATCCTGAGATCACACTTGTGTCAGAACCTGCTACTCTGTGGTACTGTCAGTACCAGGAATGCGGAGTCGGACTCGGATATAAGGAATCGGAGTCGGAGTCTTTCGAAGTCGGAGTTGGATCGGAGTC